GAGGGGAAGCTATCTTACCGCGCCTGGACATTTCGTAACAATATGATAGCTTATTTCGTGTACGATGACCCCGAACGAGTTAGCGGAACAGGGTTTCCTTTTATTGTTCACGAGGAATGAATTTTAAAAAGTCCACTTTTTAAGACAGATAACAATCGTATGCTTTTCCCTAAATAATATCTCGACATAACTCGTATACGAGGTAAGTGTAAAATTTAAAAAAATTCAAAATCTCTGTTGAGGATATAACGCCACGTAAAAATAAAACTGTAAACATGTAGATTTCATGTTCCCAAAGTATTTCTTTTAACAAATTATACAAATAGTTCAAATCTTTGCGTTGACAGAAAGGAAATTTAAAACGATGACTGGTAATCAAAAATATTTTTAAAAATTATTTAAGGAGCTTTTTTTAGAGAAGATAAAATTAATACTTATAGTTGGAAATTTGTTTTTTGTATTACACTTAAAAAAATTCCATTCCAGCCTTTCTGTCGATCAATTCTGAAATAAGTTTAGTTTCATATTATAACTTCTTATAGAATAGTCACATGCGCTTCACAACACTATCTCTTGAGCAATTGATTATTACCCGTCCTTTTATATTATACTTCAGATTAAGTTCTCATGCATTATTTAAGAAGTTACTCAGTGTTGTTCTGTCACTGAAACTTAAACAACGACCTGTCAGTGAATTTTAGACAAAGGAATTCTCAAGGAGCAGTTTGGCTGCTGTCCAAGCCTATGATGCACTTTCAGAACTATTTGTCTTCAGTTTAGTTATGTATTTAGCCAGGAAAATATACCATTATGCGAGAAGATTATAGAATTAGATCTGATCATTAATTCATTCATTTGTTATTAAAGCCATATAACATTAAGATATATTTATATTCACATTCACTTACAACTGGCGATTCATGAAGCAATTTTACACTGCCTTTAAATAATTTCTCATAAACTAATTATTATTATTAAGAACCTGAAGAAGATGTCCCGGAAATTCAAATTTACATTGCCAAATTAGCAGAAAAAGTTTTTGCGCATATTCCTGATGTTAGAAATTGCACCATCCCAATGCTGTACTATTATGACTATGAATGTGAAGAAAATAGAAAAAGACCGCTTGCGGTTCTAAGACAGCTAGATACCTAATTTAATGTACAAATACCTTGTACCCTTATTCCTTAATATGTCATTATTCCTCATGTACCGTCCTTTAGTGTATTGTTTTACTTATGTCGGTTCTTAGCTGTATTTAATGTTTATTGTAATTATTATGTAAATATGCTGTATATATATCCACTTTTTTGCCGTACTGAGTGTTTCAGGACTGCTTCAGTTGCAATAAGGCATTTTTTTAACTGCTATAATTGCTATTTTAATACTTGTAATTGCTTATTTCCTCGACTGCGCATTTGCCTTTGCCTTCGGCCTGCGCCGCAGGAGTTTCGCCTCACAGAATCTGTTCATGGCGTTCTTCCGCTATAGACTATGCTACTCGTGAACGTCTATACTGATTTCTTCTGTTCTCCTAACTATTCGGAACTCTCAAAGAATAGTAAATCATCAATCACCTATACCGGGTTAGCGATAAAATGCGGGAACCCTAATTGTGAACATTTTGAGTTCGCCGGAGCCGACCACGCGAAGGTGGTGACAAAGGACTTTGTTCTGATCTCGAGCCCGACTAGGCGCTGAGTGACTGTGTAAACATCTAAAGTGATGCAAAATTGTCCTTGAGTTCAACTAGCGCGAGGAGACGCTAAGCCACTATTATATCCCAATTTAATCCGTAGCTTTTTACTCTATTAAATGTTCTGTTGTGTGGAAAAAGGATTAGTCATTCTTTACTGAGTAATATCATTTTTACCTTCCCTCACATATATGTATTCAACATGCGTCTGTCTTTCTCGTGTTTTTCTTTTGTTTTTGAAACAAAAGAGTTCCAAATTAGCTGTCGTCTTGTATGGGACTAACGAGCCTTTTATTTCAACTGAAAGTTGCTTTCGAAGGCTGATGGATTCCTCGGACCCCGAGATCAAAAGCTGCCAGCTCTGTCGGTTTTTAGCGGGAGACTCCTGGTTTCTCACGACGCCTCTCTGTAGATCGCGAAATTTACCATACTTTAATTTTTAGTCTTTACCGAGAAAAATATTTCGCACTTATAAATGAAATTTTTTTAAGTAATAAATCTTAAATTTCGAAAAAGCCATTCCACCACCAATAATGGTTTTCTGTGTAATTTTTCTCATTAAATTTCATTTCATCTGAATTGTCTTAATCTACTGTAGACATCCGTAGACCGTTTTATGAAAATGAAGTCAATGTTTAATCAATTAGCGTTTGTATTTAGCTACGTTTTCTGATTTGTTGTTAGGTTTATCCGCCTAATAATATTTATAGTATTAATAATGAATTTTAGTTTCACCCTATTTAGAAGTAGTTTGATAAATAAAGCTTTCCCTCCTTACTTAGGATTTTCTCAACGTGAAGTATAAGAAAATTTCGAATTACCCAAAGAACATTGCATTTAGAATATCTAATTAAATTTTAATATATTTTAAACCTGAATCACATTATAAATAGTTGAATGACTCAAATAATGTAGCTGCAGATGCTTCTAGTAGACGGTTGGCTTCTTGGATACACATTTCAAAGTAAAACTCTAAGCCAGATATCTGTTAAATTGTCTCATTATTGGCTTGCTATTAGGCTTGTTGTTGTTGTTACTAATCTCCATGTCTAAGAATATACTAGACGAGGTCCACGAGACCATTCACCTTCAGAAAATCGAAAACAAGCTTAGGAGACTTGTAAAGGTCCTCAAGAGACAACTCCAGGCACTCAAGGATATGTGCCGGTGATGCCGGTGCAATTTGGCATTTAGAGCAAATTTGATGCATCTTGAGACCTTTCTCAAATCTAAGTCATTTCAGCTGTCCACTGAAGAATCGGGAAAGTGTTGTCTGAACACATCGATCGCAATCAATAGCAAGAGTTCTTCCAGGACAATCAGCTTGATACCAGGGATGATTCGGGGAAACGAGCCAAATGTGCCTGTCTGCATGTCTTCTAATGGAATACAGTTCAAGATATGTCAATGAATTGGTAAATGGTAATGGTTCTTCAGAACCCTCCTTCGCCAGAATGTCTGCCATTTCATTCCCCCATATGTCAACATGGGAAGGAATCCACTGAAGGTGCACTTTGCAGAGTGACGAGACCTGCTCAAGCTTGCTAAGAATTGCAATTCCGGCCCTATCACCAACTCTTCGCCAGTTTGAAAGATACTGGATGGCGCTACGACTGTCAGACAAAAACCATACTGCCTTAAGATCTGTAAAGGACGAAACAGCGTTTATTCCCTCTTCGATGGCTGTAAGCTTACTCTTAAAAACCGAACTGAAGTCAGAATTTTTTTCTTTATTTTAACAATATTTCCATTTGTGCATTTAATGACAACTCCACTACCGGAACGAGAGTCCTCGCTTTTACTCCCATCAGTATAGATAAGGGTAGCTTCAGCGGGAATTGCGGTATATAGTTTCTAAGGCAGATTGTCGTAACAGGGCTGGAATATCATTTTTCTTGGAAACTCGAGAAGTTCCGTATGAACTCGACTCTAGGGAGTCTCTCAGACGGATCTAAACATTGTTTCGAGGAATTCTGCTCAATATTACGGTCAATTATACCAGCATACTCAATTTGACTAAGTGGGCTATTTTTCTTTAGTTATTACTCCAGTGCTGCAGGAATTCTGAAGTTCTATTTTGGGAGCCATAACTGAAAAGTTTATTATAATATTTTGCAAGTCCAGCATTTCTTAGGCTAAGGGGTTGAAGGTCTGTTTCATACAACGTAATTTTATTCGGGCAACTGTTGCGTAAGCCAGTTATAATACGAGAAGTACTAAGTTGGACTCTTTCCAATTTCTAGAGGTTGGCAGAAGAGGCACAACAGTAAACGGCGAAACCGTATTCCAAAATAGGTCGTATGATAGCTGAATAAATAGTTCTCAATGTGCAAGCATCGGCTTCCCAATCACGTCCCGAGATATACTTTAAAATGTTTAGTCGTTCTCTGCCCCTAAAAACCAGTGCATCCACATGTTTCTTACTAGTGATCTCTGGATCGAGAACGAAGCCCAAATATTTCGGATGTTTGTCATACCTAAGAGGCAAATTATTCATAAAAATTTTTGGATGATAATTATAAAACTTCTTATTGGTGATAAAAAAAACTAACAATAGATTTAGTTGGATTAACACTCAATTTGTGGTCTTTCAAGAATTTCCACACTTCTTCAAGGATAAGATTTATATTGGTCTCAGTTGGACTCACATCTGGGCCAGAGCTCCAAGGGCGATATCATCCGCAAATAGCCTGCAATTATCATCCGCAATTAGGCTTGTAGTATTCTTCAAACCCTCCAACTTATTTCATTCTTCAGATGGTACCGCCTATTTACTGTTTATACTATATTTTCTATTTTATATTTCTCACTAAAATTAACTAATTAATTATTAAACTTAATTTGAAGTGTAAATCAGAATGAGCTACATTTTAAAACGGTTTTCTTTCATATGTGAGTCTATTATTTAGATAAATATCTGAAAGGCGTTCTATATTTAACGCCATACGTATAAAATTTTTATTTTGATATAAATTCTGAGACGACATTTTTGACATTTGTTGCTTATTTTTTAAACAGCATTACTTCTAACAAACTGTACAGAATGCGTATAGAGAAATTTTTGAACTTCTGATTGATGACTGTAAGATAATATGGAAGATTCATTTGTCTATTTAATCGGTTGATTAATAACTCAGGTAAAACTTTGGAGGACTATTGAAACCTTTATATAGGCGGATATTGATTTTAGATTGGCTGTCTCACCATATTAAATTTGTTTTGTTAGCTAATTTACAGTTATGTGTCTCACAACAAATATAACTTTGTCAACGAGGCTTCATTCAAATACTCATTTTTTTCTTAGGTATCCATCGTAGCCGTCACTCCATGTCGCTGCATTGTGTGGCAGAGGCAGAGTCTGGAGTATCTTTTAATAAAGGAGACGCACTTGTCAAACGTACTCGCCCTTCTTCTCTCCAGGGATATTACAAGGAAACTTTATGCTATGAATGATAAGGTCATATTCTATTACTAATTAAAAAATTTGCATGCAATAATTTAAATACATAAAAAAAAAAAAAAAAAAAAAAAAAAAAAAAAAAAAAAAAAAAAAAAAAAAAAAAAAAAAACAGACGCACATTTATCTTGCGTCTCAGAAGGTGTCCGCCGAAAACATTGCGGCAAAAACATCGCGGACGAAAACATTGCGGAGAAAACAACGCAAGGCGACATCGTGGGAGAAAAAAAGCAAAGAGAAAACATCACAGTTCTTAAGCATCGTGGTACAAAATATTGTCGTCGCAAATAAAGAGGTTCAAAATCTTCGCAGTTTAAAAACATCGTCATCGAAAATATGGTGGTAAAAAATAAAGTACCTACAAATACAAATCACCGCATAACGATAACATCGCACACATGCGTTTTTCAGGTTTTTAAAAGCTGTAAATGCATTTTCCCAAAATTATTTGGGAGCTCAAAAAGGAAAGAGGGATATTTTTACTTTTATATTTCATATTTTTGAATGAACGAATACATTTTTACTGAAAAAGTAAGAAGGAAACTTAAGCATTTAAAAATGGACAATGACTAGAAAATTAATGCAATTTACAGAACTTAATAAGAATTTTAAATTTACATAGTTAATTTACAAAGGTCATAATAAATTAATCTTTTTTGTTTAAGTTTTAATCATAATTTTTCATGAAAAATAGAGCTTAAGATGTTTAGAAAAAAGAAGATGAATAACTGCATGAGGTTACCTGTATAAACATTGTTTAGTTAATTATCAAATTACTTTCTATCACGTTTGTTAGTCTGATATTGTTTTAGTGAAAATTATATCTTGTTTTGTTTCCGTTTATTCTTAAAGTGCCGTTAACATTTCATGCGCTTTTAAATCTTTATGCAAATATGAACTCATAACCTTTAAAACCCGAAAACCGCATGTGTGCGATGTTATCGTCATGCGATAATTTGTAGGTGCCTTATTTTATTCCTGCGATATTTTCGACGACGATGTTTTTAAACTGCGAATTTTATTTTATTTATTTATTTATTTTTTATTGAAAATTTTAAATCCTTGTGCACCACATAGTAACTGCGAAGTTTTTGAACCGCTTTATTTTCGACGACGATATTTTGTACCACGATGTTTTAGAACTGCGATGTTATATCTTTGCTTTTTTTCCTCCCACGATGTTTTGTACTAGGACGTATTCGCCTTGCGTTGTTTTCTTCGCGACGTTTTCATCCGCGATATTTCCTGTTGTAACCTCTTAGGAAGTATAAAAATCACGGAATTTGGGAAGGGAAGCATTATCATATTAACGTTTTTTACCTAAAAGTAAGATTATTGCTTATATGACATTTGAATTTTACAAGATTTAAAATAATAGAAAAAATAATAATAATTCATGCAAATGTTCTGTTATTTCTGAGTAATTAACGCATAATTTGTTCCAAGATTTTTTACCTTGACGCTGAGTGAGCCATTTATTTCTTCAGTTCTTTGATTTTCTTTCTACGCTTCTGCTCTGCCTATGTAAAAGCGAGAGAATTAAAATGCATGTCAAGTAACGTTCAATTTGTAGATAATCTTAGCTTTTTATGAACAATTTATATTTCATATAATCCTTAAGCAGTGGTTTTATATTCCTTTTACTGTAAGTGTTTAAGTTGTAGGAGCAGGAGCGTAGTCAACTGTAAAGTCCACAAATTTGATATAGCAAATATGCATATACAGAATAATCAGAAGCTAATATTATACTGTACACACATGAAAAGTAATTGAATACAAGACTTTAAGAATTTTGTTTTTGTGAACGTTATTATACACCAGCTGTGTACCAGTTTATGTGTATTTTATTGATGCTGTTTGTTTCTTATTTTATATTTAAGTAAACCTATTGCGCCTATTCAATGTCTAAGTCATATATTCGCGTGTGTTCGATGCATTGTTCAAATTTTTGTTTTGTTTTATAAATTCAAATCTAACCTTTATTTGATTTTTTTGTGTAAAATATACTGTTTTACTTCTAATGGATTCATAACTGATATATAAAATGTGTCCTAGGACTTTCGAGGGACAAACTACATCTGTAAACTAAAATAATTCTCAGTTCGTAGTTCGATTATTCCAGTTATTTTGTCTATAATCTTCCAAATAAGCGTAAGATGCGTATATTTTATCTTATAATTTAAATAATAGCACAAGCAAGTAAAGCAGTCGTAACTCAGGTACGGCTTTTTGAGATGAAGACAGATGCATTTTGGTTACAATCGGAACACTTTACACCGTCATGTGCTTTGCTATACTCAAGAAAACAAACTTTGCACGGTATCTACACAAGCCAACTTTCCTTGAATGTTTTCCTTCTACTATGCTGTCCATTCTCGTAAATTTGTTAATAAATGATTTTGTTAATATTTAACCTTTTTGGAAGAGAGTTTCAAAATTAACGTTGAAATTTGACTCAAACGGCTGCGTGCCATAATCCTCATAAATATACTGCAACAGAACTATTCTTTCTTTTATAATTGTTATTCTACAATCAATTGAGAACTTTATTAATCTTTGACACCTCTTCTAGAATCATTTATTTTGTTCGCATACTTAAGGTATGATTAGTCTGCCACCAGACTGCATCGAGACTAGGATGCAGGGGTTATTTCGAAAGCCACTCATAATGTTTCTAACAAAAAGCTTTTCTCTGATTTCCCTACTGCCTTCTCTATCTAAAACGCGTGCTCATGATAAAACCCACAGCAATATAAATGTGATAATATTAGAGATACATCATTTGAAAATGGATAGGTTTTTGAAATTTCATTTCGCTCTTCAATAACATTTTATTTACAGCTCTACAAGTACATGGCAAATGAAAATTCAGCTTGCTTTCAGTTACGCCTTATAATAAAGTTCTTGCTTTTTACAGCAATTATTGACCACATTTGATGTTATTTCATTACAAGAATCTCAGTAAACCTTCACTGCCTCTAAACCTTTAACATAAGTTGCTATGTTTTGAGACTCCATTCCTAAGTCTTTAATAGGCTTTTGATAATTCCTTTTTAAGTAATAAAAATGTTCTCGATTAAATGGGTTTAGTCTACCCGCCTAGTTTGATGAGAAAAAAGAACTTTATTCATCAAAAAGTTTTAAGTAATGAGATGGGCAAAAACAATTTCTTAAATTCTCGAGTTTTTTAAAAATTATTTTGAGAGTTAAGAATATTTTTAAGTATAAAGAACTATAATTTCGAGACCTGAGATTTTTTTCATAATTTTTATGATTTTCCACAACGAGATTCTTGAGTACAATCGCTAATTACTGTTGTTCATGGGCAAACATCAGCAGTCCTTTCAGCAACTGTAATTGCTGTTCTGAAAGCTGTTCTTCCACGCGTGTGATAAGATTGTAGGGACGATACGGGAGCTCCAGCTACCTTCTCGAGCTTTTACTTCTTCCGCTCAATTATTTTCTCGAGTGAAGTCATTTAAATGTTTCCTGGGGCTATTTCATTATTTGCAGTGCGCAGTGATATTCACCGAGTAACTGCAACAGAGACCATCAGCACATTTTGACTTTGTGTGAGTCAGAAAGTGATCCTGTCTTCTAAGAATTTTTACATGAATAATTGCAGCATTCCAAATAATATATAAAATTAAAACTGAAAGTAGTAATGTTTTTTAATACTAGAAAGATACATAAAAATTTAATGTTTTTTTATTTAATAAAGATAATAAGTGAGTTCTGTTGATTTTATTGCGCTTACGTTATAAGAAGTAATCGCCTTCCCCCGTGCGGGTTCTCGTGGTGTAACTGCCAGGCTAGAAAACAGAGCATATGTGGATCAAGTCTTGCCGAAAGCATAGCTGAATTTTCGTGATAATCGCTTGGAAAATCAAATATATTGGAGCCTGACTAAAATGCAGTGTCTGATAATTCATCAACAGTTCGTCAATTTGGGCGACAACTAAGTCTCTTTCCTCTCTCCCCAGTCGCTAAGTGATGGAGAATGCAAGGAATTATTACGCTCATTACTAACCCCATCCAGTTAGCTGGCTATTAGTTATCCTCTACCGAATTCGTAGCTCGAAAAGTCATATTTTTTCAAAGAACTAATATTTTATACTCAAGAATAGCACTGGTTGGAGAATCATAGTTTGGAAAACGCTGCAGCTGCTGCTTATGTCGAATATATTAAGCTTTTCAAAGCGCAAAAAATTAATTATGTTCTCCCCGGGATTCGAGCTACGAATCTTCTCACTGCCAGCCGGGCATGCTTCCTGTTATACCCCACGAGAGAGAAGTAAATTCCTTATAACTGTATATAAATTACATAATCTAATGAGATGTTTAAAGTACAGAAAAAATAATTTTAAGACTTTTGTTAATTACTAAAGGAAATTTTAAAATGTCCTTTATTTTCTTTTCTTTTTTTCCCGTTAGATGGTTACGGAGAAAGGTTCTCACTTAGATATTAGACTTCCCAGTTTCACGGGTTCTCTTGCATCGCAAGAAGAAATTAAGAAAAGAACAGAATCAGGTATGTGACTCATTTTCTTTCCTTTCTTTAAATAGCTATTTCAACGCATATTTAATTCTTAGCTGCTCGCTGTGTCAAATTTAGCCAACAAATAGCAGCATTAAATTACATCTGTAACTCTGTAAAGCAATTCTCTAAGTGTTATTTAAATTTAATTAAGATCTTATTGCATTTTTTTATTCTTAAGAGGAGCGTTCAGATGTTGGTGTTTGTCGTAAGATGCAAAAATATTTTAACTTCGTTCATACCTGTGGAAAAAGGCTTAAGCCTAGCCAACCAAGGAAGACAAAGTTGCACATGCGTGTATGTGCTGGTTACTGAGTGAAATCATTGTCCAGCTGTCAGCTTTGTGTTTGCTTCCTTGTGACTGGAGTTATTGTAACAGGCTGGCATCAAATTGAACAAAATCCTTACACCAGTTTTCGTGAAATAGCAATGGCTGGTTGCCTAGCAACGGAGGTTCAGCTTATGTTTATTGTGACCATAAAGCTATCGTCGAAACACCCTTTGAAAACACCTTTATAACTGTCTAATAGCTTTAAATCTTTTTTCAATAGATATGCAGATTTTAATATCGTTAATAAAATATATGTTTAAGCATTTATGAAAAATTAAACAGTGATTTTAACTTATCGACTATGATTCATGAAAAGTTGACAGAATTCTTTCAAGTTTTGAGATTTTATGTTTCCCACTGATTTTATTTATAAAAGTATCGTCTCCAAATAACATTTTACAGAATTAAAGATTATGTTTTAATGTGTTATTCTGTTGCTCTTATAATTCATAATAAACTTGACGAAACGTTTGAGCACAAAATATTCGTGACTATAATTCCAAGACTTACTACTGTAGAAGTTAGAACTAAAGCTTTTTTTAAAAAAAACCTCTCAACCGCAAGCTCTGTCCATTAGTTCTGTCATCATCTAGCTTAGCATTTTGTGCAGAAGTGTTTTTGTTGCAAACTGGAATGTTTTCCTCCTGATTTTCAAAAGTTTAAATATTATTCCATTTTACGAAGATTGTTACATTTATAACATGCACTTAATTTAAATACTTTTTGCTTATCTTTATTTGAAAAATTATAAGAAAACGTTCTGAAGAAAGAACTTGAAATTTGAAGATTTTGAGTTTTGATAAATTTGAAATTTTATCATACATTATTAACTCCCAGTGGTACCTACATTTATTGTTGATGCATTTTACAATTCATTTATTTTTCCTTTCACAGTATTTAGTAACGCAATTTCATGTATGCATTTGAATAATATTTAAAACATTTCAGATATTTAGAATGATGCAAATTTTGTGATATTTAGTTTCAGGTGATATGCGTTATGAATCCTGCTTTAAAGGAAGTCTTATTAAAAGATGCAAAAATCAATATAATTCTGTAGTATATTTTGTTTGATTATTTATACGTTTATTCATCTATTGAATGTTAAAAATAAAATCATTAGTACGTTTCACAATATAGAGACTTACTGAACATTTCGAAGCAGGAAGCATAAAAACAAATAAATAATTAAATGGCATCTTCGCCGGGATTCGAACCTCTGATTCTCCATTTAATACTAGTTGAAAGTGTTAACCAATGTGACAAATGTGCGCATGGGGGGATGCGATAATACCTGCAACTGTAGTGTATTTTTCCTGCGAAGTAATTTTTAAAGCTGTTTTATTCTTGTAATCCTTCTCCTGGTGTTTCAGGCCACGAGAATTTTTACCAAGCCTATCTGGAAACTGGAAATAATATTTCTTTAGATTTGCATATATACTCAGATTTCGTGAAATCGCTGGTGACAGCACCCTCTGTCAAACAAATTCATGATATGTCACGTTAGAATTTATAACGAAACTTCGACCATTGCTTCTGCCATTTGTAGAGAGAGGTTTATATGTCGTATTCGATTGAAGCGCGGAAGTAAGGAAAAGGATTTTATGACGCACGAGAAGAAATTATAAATTTTTTAAAAAACAGCTGACGTGAAGTGAAATATTATACGCTTTTTTAGTTTTCGTGAATTTGAAATGAGAAGGTGATTGATACTGAAACCATTCATAAAAGAAATGCTTTATAATTCTTTTTGCGTATCTTTAGATAAGTATAAATGCTTATATTAATGAGTCGAATAATATAAAAATTGCTAACCGATTAACTTTGAGAAAGATAAAAGTCTAGAACTTTATAGAATTCTCACTATTATTACTCCATTTATGCTTGGGTAATAAAATTTTATTAAAAACACTTCAAAATAATTTTCAAAATTAAAATCAAAGTTCAGCGGTAAAATTGAATAACCTGTCCAAAGGGCAGGAAAGCTTTAAATTGGTGCACCAAGGCAATCATTGGTTCAACTGTAAACATTAACATTCTTGTGTATTTTCAAGTAAGAACAATTTCCATAATCATACTGTACATGATTTTATGAAAATCATTGTTGCGCAAGCACTAAAAACTAAGCACTATAACTAAGTGTTAGACCAATATAACCCAACTATTAGTCGATATAATATGCTTTCATAAATAGTCTATACAAATTAATGCCTTGATGTACGCACTCGAACAAATGAACATTATGAAATATATACAATGTGTTCTTTAACACAAGTGGAAAACGTGAGTTTTTAAACCTTTTTCAAATGCAAAACCTGTCGCTACTTACCATATGATTTAATAAAACATGTATTTTATTTTTGTGTAAAATTTTTTATATGGCTTTTTAAATGGTAAGTATTAATTAACTATGCGGATTTTTTTAATTATGCATTGTTGATTAATTTATTTTTCTGGTTATGCATGATAATTAAAATAAGGTTTGTCTATTCAGAATAGAGTACCATTTCTTTAAAGTTCTGTTAAATGCGGTGTGTATAATTTGCGAATCAGAGGGAAAAGAAATAGAGACAGGAAAAGAATAATAGGGAAGAGAAATAATAAAAAGTTTGCCGGTGCTTGTTTAAGTACGACAAGTCATTAAGTTCTTTAAATCATTTGCATTTATATATTTCATATTATTCGTAGTCAAATTTAATTAGATTTATAGCGAGATCATAAAAAAGCTTAAGCTATATTGACTCAAATAACATGGTATGATGGTTTGCTTTTGGAGATGTCTTTGGATGTTAATGGGAATTGTGAAATTAGATATTCTTCGTACTATTCATAGTTAACAAGTGGCACCAAATTTCACCAGATGTGCACTAGATTTGATTGCACCAGATTGTTGCACCAGATTTAATTGCACCAGATTGAAGTAGTTACACTAGATTTGATTGCAGGACATCACTCATCTGTTAAAATCTGTCACATGCGTCGTGTTATGCTGTCTTTTAAGTCGCTTAAGTAACGAATCTTTGCTACTATAATTAATCTTAACCTCAGAGCCTAAAAGTATAAATTAAGATCTTGTTGAATACAGTGATCATATGAATCGGACACGGGCCATAACTTTACCTTTAAATTGTCTCAGACTGTGTGTCATGGCACATGAAGTGTTTAATGGTACTGCATCCTGCATGAACACAGGTGTATTAAGATATCAACACAACTGTAAATAAAGAAATAACTATGCTTTCAAAATTATCATGAAAAGGAAGAGTAACTACTACTATGCAAGTTGATGGTTCGATATGCCAGTTGTCTAAAAGAAAAGAGTAATATAAAAAAATGTCAGTTCCTACTTAGGTCAATAAAGAAAAATTTTTTATATGTGAAAAAATGTATTAACATTAAGTGTCATCCACTTCAAAATTAATAAAAAAATTTATTTGAACTTGCGTGGATGAATAAAAAGTATTTTATTAAAGACTGAAAATTAATTAATTAATAATTAATTAAATAAAAAAATTAAAGTCAATTTCTACTTAGGTAATAAAGAAAAATGTTTTTAAATAAAAATAAATAAATAAAAATACAAAAAAAATTAATTAAAAATGTTAAAAAAATTTAATAATGGAAAAAAATTGCATTAACATCAAGTGTCATCCACTACAAGTTTTAAAAAATGCATTTGAACTTGAGTGGATGAATAAAAAGTATTCTATTAACGACTGAATAAGATATAGGAAGGGTGTGAGCTAATACGAGTAGTAAGAACTTAAAAAGAATTTCAGCCGCGAAGTAGCTATAGAAATTGCTTTTATGAACTGCAAATAACCTCGTTAATTGCAAAAGTAGTTTTACATCGCATAAGGATTTCGACGGCGCAATTTTCTCCATTTACCATCCGGGCTGATATGAAAATACGCATCGTAACTATATTCATGTTCCATGTCCTTTTATAACGAATGCCAGCCAAACGCACGATCTAAAAACAGTTGATGGGCGAGATTTTTTTTTAACGTACTGAAAATTTTATTAACAAAAACATATTTAAATAAATTAAAAATCTTTCTTTCTAAATATTTCTAAATCTAAGGAAAATTATTTATATTTATTTTCTGTTTAAATCTAAAGTTTGGTACACGTAAGGAATTTTTATTAGTTACATGTTGTAGTTCATATATACTGACTATATTTATTTCATACTATAGCTTTTTTTATGCGTTTCGATCCTGATAAAGTTGAAAATAAATTTGAGATTTAGAGAGAAATTTACTAGAAATGATCTTCATCATAGATTGTAGATGCTCACCGGTCAATCTGATTCTTTTTCTCGTTAATTTTCAACTAAAGAGAAAAAAACTGGTCACATGGTAAATATATTCCCAAACAAAGTGATTATTCTTAGTGCAAAAATTCGTGACTGAGCTTATTTATTTTTTGACAAGCATAAATAAAAATTAATAAAATCTGTATCTTCAAATCTTTGAATAAGATTTATATCGAATCGTAAATTAATTAGCTCTGTTTATAGATTTTCTGGTGGGTTACTTATTTTCTTTGGAAATGAAAATAATATAAAGTCGGACTCCAAATAACTAAAATCTCGAAATCTTTGCAACAAATACCTGACAGGAATGTCCTCGCAAACCGCCAGTTTGAGATCACGTTCGTAAGTTCTAAGCAAGTTATTATGATTACGTTCATGGACTGTTGCGAGAGTTGGAAGACATCCAACCGTGAACAAAAGATGCTTTAGATGTTTATGGCGACTGTTAATACGGCACTAGATGTATTTATGTTGGTATAACTTGGGGAAAATTATAACTATATTCATCATTTGTTAAGGTTATCATTGCTTTGAGAAAAGACCAAAACAGCAATAAGCTTATTAAATATTTTTATGAGATTTCAATCAACAGTTTAAAGCTAATTTTAATCAACGTAATTTATTAGATTATTTGCTTAAAACCGTGCACATATAATTTTAATATATTTGGTGACAAAGAAAATATAAGCACACATATTAGTTATAGACAATATTATCTGCCGAAATTTAATGCTTTATCTTGCATTTATTTCACTTCGTAAGTAAATAAATATTACTTGTATAATTAATTAATTACTCTTTTACGTATTTTATCGCTATTTTAATTCAACAATTTCACATGGTAATTCTTTTATCTTATTTCACATAATATAATTTTATGTGAAATTATTCGGTACTGAGAAAATATGTACAGAAGAAAAATCGATAAATTTAGATAATCTGCCTCGCTCTTTGAGGCTTTGAAAAAATTATAACCATTTCACTAGAAGATTATACAAAATATTATTGTAAACTGTGTGTAATTTGATGATAACATGATTATTTTAAGAAAATAGTTACGTTATTATTATTTTACAATAGATTTATTATTACTGCTTATTAATTCTTTTAAGTCTACTATTAATTTTATGGTAACTATTAATAATTGTTGAATTACTAGTATAATATTTGTCTTAGACCGGAGAAAAAAATTAATGTATTGAATGCCTCCATTTTACTTAAAAGTATTTAAATGGCTTTTCTTATCTCTTCAGTTGCAGATAAACACGGTGTCCCATAAATCCAGCATCATAATGCATAGCAATCTTTTCAAAATGATGCTCTTGTTCACACGTACAGAAGCAGTCAGTACTTCTACTGTAATAACCCACGTTCGATGATGGTAAAGAATTACTGCAATAAAAAGTCTGATAAACTTCTAAGTGCTGCAAACTTATAATATTTACAGCGTAAATAAAAATTTTCAAGTGATAGCATTGGTAAAAGTCCGATTGGTATTAAGTCTGCACTTTGTAGCACTTTTCAGCTTCCTTTGGCGATCTACCCAGATTTCTGGAAGTTTGCAATCGATCCCTATGATGCTTTATCTGTGGGACACCCTGTAAATTTGTGGCACTGAAGATATATACTGAGCATGATTTTACAACCAGAAAATAAACTCACGTACAGAAATTACTGTAACCATTTTAATGTATCTGATATGATTTTACTTTTACAATTCTAATTTTTTTACAGTTTTCGGAAGTAAAGAATTTACCGGACCTACTGGATACGGACATACTAGAGCTTTCCTCTCCGAATGAATCTTCAGAAAAGTCTTGTCGATTCTTATTAGAATGGTAAAAATGCTGCCAAAGGGTACCAATACGGCTGGACATCGCATTCCTGTTCATTTGCCTTTGAATCTTCCACAGTGTTTTTTTAAGATTTTCTTTCGAATTCGGATAAAAAAAATACATGGAATATTTAAAATCTCTTTGTTGACAACTTAGGAAGACAATTCCCAATACGCATGAAAAAGTCGAATTTCCCCCTAGAAAGTATATTGTAATGAGATACGTCTATAAATATAAGGCTGCAAACAATAATCAATCACAACAGTATATTACGACATCATGGCACACAATGTTCTCTATCATTTTAATTCTATTAATTCTTGGGCATTTTTTTTAAATTTCATAAATTAAAATGCGAAGAAACAATATTATTTTGTTATTAAACAATATTGCATCATAATTTTATCTGAAAATAGACGTTTCAATATAAATATATATAAAAAAAGGATAATGAATAATAGTTCAAAGGATGGACATCCATTATTTAAAAACGTTTTAAACCATGTCTTACTAGATACCTGTCAGTCTGTAAGATACTATAATATACATCTTAAAATATTAAATAAAATACAGTGTTTATATTAAAATAAAATAGAGTTAACAACGTAGATTTGAAATAATAAAACTTTCCAGTCATTACATGTTATTTGTAGACGACACTTTTAGTTTCATATTCATACAATAGGCATTTAATCCCTATATGAATGTACATAACTTAGAACATGAAATGCTGATTAGTATTCAGAAAGATAAAAAGAATGATACTAAAATGTTAATAGACTTTGAGATAAGTCGATTGACTACATGATTATTCACGGCATTTCTTTCTGAGGTATACCTACCCGACCATCCGAGATATCAAACCTGTGTAATTATGATGTAGGTCCTCTTTTCTTTGACAAAAGAAACTTGACTCGTTGAGGCATAGATTTTATGTATTGGAAGTATCTTTTGATTTTGGTAATATTGGTAACTTGATAATAATGTTGTTACTATGTATTGCTGCTAGAAGCGCATTTCAGAAAATGTGAATAAGGAAAACTATAGAAAATTCTTCTTTAGTTGCGTAGGGTTCTATGCATAGGTTTCACGATTAGATGGGAAACAAGACATGCCCTACGAACGAAGGACGAAGAGATGGAAAAGGGATATCTAATGTCCATGAAAGTTCTTGCCTCATGCGTGATATAAAGCAACCAGCAGCATAACAGCATTTTGTCTGAGCATCTCAAATCATCCGGAAATTATTTTCAAAATTTCGCCGGACAAATAATGGCGGAAACTAGTCTTAGAAAGCTAAATTGCATGATTTCTCAAGCAATTCGACAATTTTAAATTCCATTTTCAGTTTATGAAGAGTAGTTGAAGCTCTTAAGCATTCAACAGAAATCGTCAAGATATTTCGCAGAAAACGTGTAATTTTTAGGTCATCGAAGATTCTTACAAAATCCACAAATTCTTCGGTAGCAATATACAAGTACTTACAAGGGTTTCTAGTAGTTTGAACTTTTATCTTTTCCTCTGGCTTAAAAACTGAAAGTGCTTTTACTTGTAGTGTTGAAACGACTTCTTTGTAATCACAATATTTCATCTTCCTTCTGGAAAATTTCTTCACGAATTTCGAAATTAGGAAAGATTATGAAATTCGGAAGCTAGTGTGTTTGTCATCGAGGATGAGCGCAGGAAAGCATTTGTTTTTTCCACAGTTAGCTAATTTCTGAGAGGTTATCTCCCTAAATGGGCCCTTTTGTATTTGAGGTAGGAAAAGTGTTTGAAATATCGTAGGTGTTTGTGACAAAACCTTTGGCAATACAAGCACGGGATAGAGGTTTCTGTAGCCAGCACTTCTAATGTTAGTAAAATGATTATTTTTGCCATCAGGAATTATTTTTTTCAATTCTATAGGAATATCTTCAGAGCTCTATTCCCTCTAATTACTGCTTTAGGGGAGTTATTCTCTAGGCGAAGTAATTTGAAAAAATTGCAGAATATTGTAAAAAACGATTCAGTTCTCCCTCAGCCCTGAGGTTTTGAATTTGATTCCTGTAGAACTAACAGCCTCTAAAAATACTTAGAACAACGTTTAGTAAGTACAACATTTAGTCGATTCTATTAAGTTCAGAGTATGGACAAACTGCTTGTAAGGCTTATCCTTTCTTGTCATCCGTAATTTTCATACCTATAGACATTAGACTATTGAAATAAATATCTTCTGGAAATAGCATATTGCATATGCTTCGTCGTTTTAATTCGAATATTCCAGTATTCACTGTTTGAGTGTATTTTCTCTGTGATATTCCATTTCGGTTTTTCCCGATTCAGGTCTTCTGAACGGCCAGCAAATATCGTACCTTTCAGGCTTTTCCCTCTCTTCTACAGGCACTCTGGATGAGAACATAAAACATTTATCATTTCAGCCTTGTTATTTATAACCTTTCATTATAGTTGGTGAGAATTAGAAAGGAAAGAGCAGGTGTTCAAAGAAACACTCTTAATTAAAAGAAGCACGTATTATCATTTCAGTTAGGACCGTGCTGAGTTTTAATTATATCTGGCACGAAAAACGAGGGCGCTTTTTTTCACGCAAAGGAATGAAACTTGCAAGGTATAAGCCGTGTATACCATACAAAAGTTCTTCCTATTTGTTTAAACAAAATCATGTGTTAGGAACCTCGAGATGGGTATGCTGAAAATCAAACTGTTTCGAAAGTTTGTTATTCAATGAAAGCAGTACAATATTAAAGGTTAATGAACGTTTGTGAAGCCTCGGATATTCCTAAAGTAGAACCTCTAAAATGCGTTGATTTATGCAAGAAACATTCTCGAGTAAAATTAACTCTATAAGGAGTCGTTTTTAAGAGCCATGGATGCCAGATGAGACTTCGTAACAAAAATGCCGGAACACTTATATTTGAAGTTGTTATCTTTCTATTGAGAAAGACACAAAGTTTTAGGATTCTCGATTAAATTAGGATTCTCGTCGCAAAATAGAGGACATCTGCTATTATGGAGTGGTTGTGGGGGAAATTTCTTTATTAGTGACGAGGGATAAACGAACAGAGTATTGCTATTTACAATAAATAACGGATTGCAGTCTCTAGGAAACAGCAAATATTTGAATAGAACTTTTAAATCTTGTTGCCCACATTACTGAAGTAAACAAGTATGGAGTATTCATACTGGTTGTGAAAACACTGCTGATGAAACAGCAGTGTATCCTTCTGTATGCGTTCCTGCTTAATAAACTCAATTAACTTACGACTAACGTAATAAAACTCACTTACGAAAAACTGTTTGCGGTTTTTGAAAGCGAAAAATATATTTCAGAAACCAAGAACTTGGAAAATGATTTTTAAATTGCTGTAAAATCCTTAAGAAATATACTTCCAAGAACTTTAATTAAATATTGTAATTTTTTAATGTGCTTACAGCTAGAAGTACAGCGAATAGGTCTGACTACTCAATAAAAAATAATAAAAAAAAACACGAAAGTATGAAAAAGCATATCCGTATTTGCGCTTCTTTAGCCCATTTACCTCCAGTAAGTATCGATGAGGGCTGGCTGAGAATAATGAAGTATTATCCTACATCTGACCAAGTTGAGCGATTTAAAGATAATATGTAATATGGTGAAGCAATGTTGAGACAAAAAATCTAAGAAAGGTATAGGACAAAAGTGCTTTCGAAGGTTGGCATCATAAGCTGAATAATTATGTCAGAAAATCTCGTCCATTATTAGGATGCTCTGAGATATAGAATAGAAGTGAAAATTCCTGGAAGGAAGAGAATGAAAAGACGAAGTTAGATTAAGAGGCGAAATCAACTTTTATGGACTTTGAAGATGGTAGGATTTCTGTTGGAGTTTCAAAAACACCGAGTCATCTTTTACATCTACATTAGTACTTAAACATTTTTAATATAAAGTTGTTTTAATTTGGAACACAAATGAATCATTCTACTCCTACATTTCTTTAGAGCAAAAATATCATAATAAACCCAACTCTCCGTAAGCTGACTCCAAAATTTATTGTAATATAATATATATTAGTAATTAAATATTACATTATATTACATCGTTTCCTTTTCTTTTATGCTTAAACATGCATACGTTTATGCATATATCTGTCTATGGGCTTTATTAAATGACAGGGTTTTTTAAAAAGATATTTATGTTAACATTATTATAGCTCTTACAAAATTTAATAGAATATTGATCGCTTGAAATCACGTAGATAAGCATAATTTTAAGTTTTAATGAAAATAAATATAATTATTTTTAAGTGCATATAAGCATACAAAAGCAAAATGTTTAATGAAAATTATATAAAATATTTAATATAAATGTACACAAAAAATTACAATTTAATGTAAAAGGGATGGTAATTTACTAGAAGTTTACTGCTAATCAGATAAAATCATCTCTAGAAATTAAGGCTTATAAATGTAAACATAAGAATTCAGAATGAAATTCTTTCTAAGAATATTAAGTGATCTTTATAAGTCTTCACGACAGAAGAAAATGGCGCTGAATGTTCCAATAAATCATTTAGTTTCTTTAAACTCGTATTATTGTCTATGATATATTTTCATTGCTTTCAATTTTGAATTGTTTCATATTGTTTAAGATATTAAGTAATGATGAAATAAAATATGATTCAGAAACAAATAGTTTCAGTTATTGTAGAGAATATTTATTCAATATTATGAAATGCATGTCTTTTGATATAAATGAAAGTTTAATATTTAATTTAGAGTTTGATATTTAAGTTTGCCGTTGACAAATAAACGTCATGTATCTAAATAAGCTGTAATGTATGTAAGCAAGTAATAAACGTATCTAAATAAGCTGTTACAAATAAATGAACATTCACAGCAAGGATGCTATTACTGTAAGATGAAGTTCATGTATGTTGAGTTTCTGTAAATAAATAAATGTAATAAATTGTGCAGCAGTCAATATAATCGAAAACTCAAGCTTCTTAAGGTGCTTAAAGAACACTTATTTCAGCCGGAAAAGAAGACATATTCTTTGTTTGAATACCATACAGTAACTCTATTAGGCAGATAGTCATAAAAGTTCCATTCCCCTATATAGAGTTTAATATCATTTTCTTAGACGAAAATCCCATTTTTAAAAGTGGATAAAATAATAAATAAATTTTATTAAAAATTGCGATAGTACAAGTCAAATTTCTTTAAAACATGATATTTTTAATACAGATTTTAGAAGTTTGTAGGATTCTTAGCTATGTAAATCCAACGTAAAAGTCTTTAATCGTACATAGACTGACAAGCGAATTACCGTTTCATCACTGAAAGTACTAAAAACGTTCCAAGAATGTTTTAAATAGCCTTTTTTTTTTATTTAAACCTTGAATTTAATGAAATGCACAGCTTGTGGCTATAAATTAAGCTTTGCCACTTGTGGGTATTAAATAACAGAAACTTGAATTTACAAATAAAAGTGGATTCGTAGTCGGAGACTATAATATAAATGGCCTAACTGAACGTTGGATTAACTTTAATTGTACCTTAAAACTTCAGCTAGAGAAATGGCTCATGCCGGGATACTAATTTAACAGAGATAGGTGAGAGAAATTACAACTGGTAAGCGTCACTGCCAAAGCTCTGTCTTTAAAAGTTTAAAGAACTCCGCCTTAAATACGCTTACTCTTTCTTCATCCTGGTTATTGCTAACGAAAAGAAGTATAGATCCAACCCATAATAAAATGGGTTAATTGGCATTAACTGGACAAGGTTTGGTCTAATTTTTTGCTCCTTCAGTCGCTAGAGGTCTTTCATAATGAAGGCTCGGATACTTTTGTCAAGCTTCAAAAATATTTCCTGATTTTTTGAAAGATGGAAAGTTTTATCCCATCTCGCTATCATATGCTTCAAAACTTGAGCTGGCCGGTACGAGATTAATAATAATCAGTTTCTTTCATCATAAAATATGTTTGCAGCCATTATGATCAATCGTCAAATCCTATTCAAGAAAGCCACAAAATAAAATCTCTTTGATTTGATACCATGGATGATATAAAATATCCTTTAGGTCCTTTAAATTATGTGGCTGGAATGATACTGCTGGTAATTTTTTCTGTGACTCAGTTCATACACGGTCTATTAAATTTGCATCCGGGGAATATGGGTCCGGCATCTTGGCCATAATGGGAATTCACCGTCATATCTTGGTAGCAGTCTTAATTCTTCTTAACAGTGAGTATTGTCTTGTTGGCGATTCTATTTCGCCGGAGACTAGAGTCGCTATAAAAGGAAGTGCTCTTAAGACATTTTGCTGTCAAATTTAAAATGTTCTTCCTTTATATCCCCAAATAATTTTCAGTATTTACAGAAATATATTTCGTTTAAAGAGCGATATTTGTACTTTCAGATCTTTAATTGCACAAATTCAGAATCGTCGAAGGCATAGTATTGTGCAAAATTCTAAGCATATACCCCAGTGTCTAAGGCAAAGGTATTCAAACTATGGGTCGGGACCTCATTTGGAGAAGCGAGAATTTATAATAGGATCGCAAGGTGAATAAAAATCTTAAAAATTCTGAACTGATGGTATACAAATAAGAATCGATGCTCTGATTGGGGTAGCGAAATTGTTTATTGGAGTCATTTACGTTTTCATGGTAACGTACTGTCATAAAGTTTAAATACTGCTTGTCTAAGGTATTAATGGGGTATCCTCGTTTAACACACTAAAATAACTGAGTAAATCCTCACGTCTAGGATTAAATTTTCATTTTGTGGGTTTCTTGAAAATTCGAATTCCGTAGAATTAAAGATTTAAAAAATTATTTTTATGCACTTTTTCCTCAGGAATTATTTTTTTCTAAATGTCTGAATATTCGGAAATCTAACGAATCGAGATAGAAAAAATAAGTATTTACTACAGTAAAAATTTAATATTCTTTTTTATTATGTTTTATTTCAACAAAAATAGTACGTTAAGCATATTTTTAATGCAAAATAAAGAATATAACGCCGCACCGTATGACAAAATAAAACAGTGAAATTGTATTTAATTTGTAGATAAACAACCCCTTTCTTTCGACTAAAATATATATTTTTTTTCCAATAGTGGGCCCTCCGCCGACTTGGCCACAACTAAGGATAGAATTTGTGATCACTTTTTATAGAGGCACCTAATAGAGGGAGCCACTTCTGCCTCCTATGATGAGACAGACAGTTACAATTATGCCTTCGCCGGGATTCGAACCCGGGGGCGTAATGGCAAACCGCACATTAAGTTGATCAATGTTAAACGAATTTCGCTTACTGCGCATGCCCAAAAGAGAATTTGGCGCACAGTTACGACTTTGGCACAATTGTTGCAATTGTAAACAGTCGATAAGACTTACATGACGAACAGGCTTGTGTAAGGTTGCTTAGTCGCCAGTATTTTCTCCCACGCCAGCGGTACACCAGTGAGCATGCGCGTAAGCGAAATTCGTTAACATTGATCAACTCAATGTGCTGTTTGCCATTAAGCAACCCGGGGCTTTCGGTATTGCAATCGACTCTCCTAACCACTATACCGCCTGGCCAGCGCTAAAAATATATGGAATTAATATGTATTTACTTAGGCCCTAGGATTAGCCTCATAATCTTATTTTATAATTATTGTATTAAAATAAACGAGGCTTTTTTTAATTTCAGGAAAATAAAATATATCAGGTTTTTTTATACTAAATTAAAACTAAACTAGAGCATGTTTTTCATTGACGTAAGATAATTAGATTGACAGTGTAATGTATACTATAAAATATTTACTTTTATAATTTGCAATAAATTTATGATTGTAATGAAAGAAATTCAACTAATATGTGGAATGAGGAATACATTTCATCTTGTAATGCGGAAGTCACCAAAAAGTTCCTTCCTTCTATTTACCATAGACTGAATTCCGAGTCTTTCCTCTCGTTAAATTTTAAAGTGTCTCAGTTTTTATCTGGTCACGGTAAATTTGCAAGTTATCTGTTTCGTTTTAATCTACGATTAAACAATTTATGTGAATGTTCAAAAAGAGTTCCTCAGGATGTGGAACATTTGATTTTCTCGTGCCCTACATTTGATGGCCCTAGATTATGCTTACAGAACGATTTGAAAATGTTCGGAGTGACTTGGCCAGTAAACTTATCTGTTTTCGTGAAGTCCAGACTGCTGTTCTCTGCTTTTGTTCGCTTTATTTATGCATGTAATTTTTAATGTTTATTTATACATGCAACCTTTAATGTTCTAGTTAACTTACTTCTGTAAGCCCCGTGTTGTACATATGTGGTGCACGGGGAGTCTGTATGTTCTCAAAGGAAAAAAAAAAAACAGTTTTGCACGTTTTCCTTAAAAAAAGGCGTACCGAATGGCTCTTAGTGCTTATTCGGTGCGCAGAGTTTCATTAAGTGATCCGCTATTGAATATAGATTTATGAGTTTTTTGATGCAAATGCAAGACGTATTTGTGTTAAGGAACAGTCTTCAGAAATTATTCGTATTAACTGATGATACGTTTGGAGAAAAAGGAACACAATTCTACCTTAATTTACTCATTATTACTAAATATATTTATAATTACAGACTTTCTTAGCCATATTTATATGTGTATTAAGAATATTTTGATCAACAGATTTCCTATTATATTTTAATAACTTAAACAAATTATCTTATATCAGTTTAATAATTTCTAACAAATAAAAAAATATTTAATTACATTATTTAAGTAGCATTTTAGAGGTAAGGCTGTTTGTACTCGTTAAAATAGTTCACGACTAAAAAGCCCGACAAAATATTCCAAGACTAAATAGCCCCAAACTAAATGGCCCCGACAAGATATCCTAGACAAAATATCCCCGAAGTAATAGCTAAGTTTAGTCATATAAAATTGTATAAAATTAATTATATTAAAATATATTAGTAAAAAATTAATTTTCACAGTTGAACATATTTGTTAAATATTGCATTTAAAAAATTTTATTAACAGAAATTCTAAATGCGGTTTAGCAATTCTCTACAAGCTTTTAAAGTTTCTGTTCCTTACCGCATTCTTTACAAAGTTACATTTCATATGTTTATTTCATCTGAGACACTGCTTATGGCCAAAAGTTCAAGAACTGAATTTGGCGGAAACTTGTGTAAATAATGAAAATGTGCGTATTTATATAAAAATGTTGTTAGTGTTTAGTTTTGTACCCGTGCATGAGGTTATCAGAGTATTTGAAGGATTAAAAGAAGCGCCGAAGAAAAAGCATTAATTTAAATTTCATCAACAGCTCGGCAAAAGCCAATAATAAATATAATTCTTTTAGATTTTTATTGTGACATTAGCAAAGAGGTAATCTATGTGAAAGGAATGTTCCAAGCAGAACTAGTATCAGTACAAATAATATTTAATAATTTCAGTCGGGGAATGTTCATGAATAGTTACGATGTGGAAGGGGATGACTCAAATGAATTGATTTGAAGGTAAATCTGGATCACGACGGAAAGGTTTCTCGAGAAAAATAATATGTTTGATTCGTTCTTGACCCATTCGCCCATTTGAAGCACATCTGTCTGATTAACAAAATATTATTTATTTTTCGTCCTTAAAATGCCGTACAGAATATATGTAGAAATTAAGAAGACTAGAAGGTATGTAGTAGAGAATGGAAGGTAGTTTTAGCGAGCTTAAAAACTGTTCCCGATACTCTTGCATTGTTATGCGCAGTCTTGAAATGCGCGTTTATCAACTACACTGGAGGATTTTATGGAAAAATATTTCCAATCAGTGAACTCTAATAGGTTTTTCATTTAGAGCCATAGATTCGAAAAACAATAGTTCAACAATAGAAAAAAACCAGATGGCCGTTGTCTAGCTAAGAATCAGTCTGTTATCAGCAATTTATCAAGATGAAAAAGTTTTTTTTCTGAAAATGGCTCCTATTAAAAGTAAT